GTTTTTATTATTTGTAAAAATATAATTTATAAATATTAATTCAGTTAAATTAAGTTCTGAATTTTTCTTTAAAATTAAAGTAGAGTTTGTCTTTGTTAAAGTTATTGAAAGGGGGCTTTTAAGTGGCTAAACTAAGCCAAGTTCTGTTTTTCATGAAATCATGGATTATTCACCTTTTTTTTTTAACACTCTCCAACTGGACTATAGTTATCCCATCTTTAGAAAAATTTACTTGTTTAATAAGCTTCAAGTCCTCATTAAAAATTGAGGTTTTTATGAAATAAGCTGAGATATCATCTCTAGTTGTGTAAAAAATTATGTGATTGGAAATTCTGTCACCCTGGAGTACCTGTGTTTTCAGCGAAAATTACTATTAAATTTATTACTAAGCTTTAAACTAAATGTTTCTAACCCTAATATTTACGTTTTTATGAAAATAAGTCATGCAATTGGTGGGTTCAATTTTTTTCAGAAATGTTTGTAATAATAAGCTATTACTTTAAGTTGGTATTAAATACACACAACCATATATGTATTTTAATTATAAATGTTTAATATAAATTTATATTGACAGTTTTATATAGTTTTAAGTAACAAGGCATGATTGATAAGTTAAAATAATGTAGTATTTTTGGAATTTTAAGTATCAAAATTTCATGTGTTATTAAGTTAGATATATGTTTTATTGTTATATTTATGTCAATTTAAAATCAAGTATACTGTGAAATTTATATATATATATATATATATATATATATATATATATATATATATATATATATATATATATATGATAAAATGAATTTAAACATTAACTTGATTTATTACATTGGAAAAATTACTGTTTAATTACAGTCATCACAGGGGTGAGTGTTTAAATGAATGTTTATTATTTACTAAAAAAATAATAATGAACAAATAAAAAGAAAATAGGAAGTATTTCATTTATGGCATTGAGCAGAAAGATTCATGTTGGAATGGTGATTATGGGACATTGAGTCTAAAATGGGCAATAGTCAGAGAAGAGTACAGGAGTTACCTCCAAGAAGATTTGCCATATTTAGAATGAGTGAGTCAATGAAGAAAGACTCTTAAATGTGTGTATATATATATATATATATATATATATATATATATATATGTATGTGTGTGTGTGTGTGTGTGTGTGTGTGTGTGTGTGTGTACATATGTTTCCATGTCAGAAAAGGGGTTCCAGTGAGAGAAGCTAGTTCAGCCATATTTGTATGTTTAATTTAAGGTATATAATTATGCATGAAAACAAGATTATCTATTATTTACAGACATTACACAAATACTACATCTGTCTGTACTCTCTTTTTTTTGTGTATGTTAAGTTTCTTCATTAAAAAAATTTTTTATTCTTTACTGCATTTTTCTTTTGTGTGAATGAGTGTCATGATTGAATAAATTGTTTATGTATTTTTTTTTTCAATTTTCAAACCTGAGAAACTAAAAAATATATAAGTTTAACATTTACTCTATTCATAGCATACATTAAATGGATATATTTATTTTTATGACTGTTATTTTGAGAAGGGAAATTTTCCTGTCCTGTGGATTTGCCACTGTATATATATATATATATATATACACACACATACATATATACGCACACACTGCAGAGGCGAGAGAGTTCAACTGGCTTCCGATAGAGATAAGATCGCCATTCTTCTTCCGCAAGGCCTGTCTAAGGCGATTTCTGACTGCAGATCAGTCGAATGTCTCTTAAAAATTCATAGTTCTTACAATTAATTTCTCTCTCCTCCCTCTATACTTTCCATTTTATTTTTATCTATTTGTTTTTTCCCCAGTTTTTGGTGCTGTAGCCTCACTGATAATCTTAATGTTTTCATTTTTTTTTTTCTCTTTCCTCCTTCTTACTATCTTATTTTATTTGTCAAATGTATACATACTAACATCCGTATCACATTAATTTACTAACATTAAAAATAAATTGTAAAATATATTATAACTAAGGTAAAATGTATATTCGAATGAAAATTCAATGTAATTCAAAATGTTATATTTTTTCTGTAAGAAAAAGCCTTAGGCCCTTAGACAATAAACAATTAATCAATCATGCATGGTGGACCAGACCCCTTACAGTGCAACCTCCCCTCCACCCCACATCCCTATAAATTGTATATTGTTGTGTTCCTAGTAACTATTTATTAAAAAAAAAGCTAATGTTCCCACAAAAAAAAAGTGAACGCACTGTCCCAAAATGGCGTCCAAGCATGGCGGATTCACGTCTTCGACTATAGCTAGTTTTTTGGTCACAGATTCAGCAGTTGGCTTAATTTCATCATTATTGGTCTTTTATTAAAGCTAGATAGAAAATAATAAAACATAAAAAAATAATTGGCCTTGGCAATAAAAAATACCAGTAAAATAATTTAATTATTCATACCAATAATAAAATTTTTTGTTTTTATTAATTTTTTTTTTTACCATCATTACTTAAGTTTCTCATACCTTGTTATCTGGTTATTTTCTTAGCCCTGATGATGGCCTGAACTTCAGGTCGAAACGTCGGCAGATGTAAAAAATAAATATTATAATTTATTTTTGCCTTCCTTTTTTGACTGAGCACCCCAACTATTCTTCTCTTCATTATCCACGACAGTCAACCAATTACCAATTATTAATTTTTTTACTTTCTATGTTATATTCTAGGATGTTTAAGATGGCTTCTTTTGTGAAAAGTATGTATTTATAGTAATAAAAGTTAATTAAGTAATACTTATAAATTTAACATTTTTATTGATTTTTAGAGGCTAGTTAAGTTATATTTACTTTATTTAAATTTATGTACTTATATTTTTACTAAAATATGTTCTTTATTTATTTAAATTACATGAAAAATAACCAGAAATGTATCATATTATAATCTGTTATATAAATTAAAATATATATTTAATGTAAATGCCACATAATGAATAGGTTACCGGACTGTTTAACAAAAATCATACATCAATAATCAAAAAATTAATTTCATTTTTACTTCCTTTATTTTGTTCTGAGGTTGGACCATATCATAAACAATTATACAACTTTTATAGTAAATGATTTATTCTCTCTGCACAAAAAAATATAGAAAAAAAAAAGCTAAATGTTCTTCTAGGTATCCAAAAATAATGGATGGTATTTGGTCTGAAAATGGGAGAGAAACGCGAAAGTGAATCAGCAAATTGTAAACATACATTAAGGGGACGAGAAAAGAATCACCAAAATCTTTGAAAATATAACTAGGATAATGATGAAAAGATTATTTGGTGGAAGGAATATGTAGAAGACAGATGAAGAGAGTATTTCAAAGAAGGGAGCTGGGTCAGTTTGGATGAGATCAATGAAACAGCCATCGAGACATATCCCAATTGAGTGTGCCGATTCACTCCAGAGTTCATTGAGAAAAAGAAATAACTTTCTATCTGCTGAGTGAAACTGGAAAAAATCTTTCAAAGAATCTGAAAGGAGAACATAGAAACAGCTCTTTGATGTGCTCTAAGGCAATTAGATATTGACACAATCCAAAGTTTGAGGCACTAAACAGATAGAGAATTATTTCTCTTTCTCAATGAACTTCTCTATAAAATGGAGAAATTTGCCTGCATCTTTGCTGTTTATATTCTGCAGCATTTCTGCAGTTAATTCTCCACTGGCTTGCCAATTCCGTTCTATCATTCTTTCTTGCTAATAACATCTCCTTTATCAGAATAAACCTTAACCGTCCTCTGCTTTTCATGCGAACAAAAAAAAAAAAAAAATAATAGCTTCCATCCATTTATTGATAAACATTGAAACACAGTTGCTTCAGGACCAGAATGTACGTTGTCAATCCTCTGAAAAAACAATTATTTATAAAGAACTAAACCATCGCATAACATTTATAAATAATAATTTAAGTAGACTGTATATAAGTTGGATTTTTAAGGTAAGAGGAGAGCTGCTATACCTTAATTACAGGAGGTATGTCAAACATGCTAATGGGCTTTGTTCACTTTGCAATATGAAACAAAGGTAGGATTCATTTTTTGGCTAATGTGTAATTTAAATCAAGAAGAAATTAAAGAATATTTAAATGGAAGAGTTGGATTAGGCTAATCCGATATTACAAGGAGGCTTGGAATTATAGGTTTTGATACGAGAATTCAATGGTTGATCATGCTTGTATGATTTACGTAATATGTAGTATTATTAAATGTTGGAATTTAATGCACTATTTATACTTGTTATTTTTGCTCTATCAAATATTGTTACAATATTGTTATTGTTATATTTCTATATATTTATGTGATTTTAGCGTATAATTTATGTTTAATATATTTATGATGAATAATTTCACAAACTATCAATTTCTCTCTGTCTCTCTGTCTCTCTCTCTCTCTCTCTCTCTCTCTCTCTCTCTCTCTCTCTCTCTCTCTCTCTCTCTCTCTCTCTCTCTCTCTCTCTCTCTCTCTCTCTCTCTCTCACTCTCTCTTTCTCTCTCTCTCGCGATATACTTGTTTGGATTACTAGGAGTTCGGATGATCAGACCGTCTGGTGTATTTATTTCAAAGTATTAAAAGTTTGTAACTGTTATATACATATTTTATGCATAAGATATTTAAGCACTAAAAAGGCAGTTTCTGTCCCTACTTCTAATAGTTCATGAAGGAGGCCAGAATGTATCTGGGTCCTACAACATTCTATGGCAATTTATTTGAAGATCACTATTAAAAAAGTACTATATAATGCACAGGTTATATTCTCTTCCTACTAATATTTGTAGATAATTAAAAATGATGTTTCTTTACCAAGTTACTTTTTACTGTAATTTTCTATGTTTAATGTTTTTTTTGTGCTATTTGATTTTTTGTTTAAAAAAATATTTTCTATTGTTTACAACTTCTAGAAAGTTTCTTCCGTTTTACAGAACTTTATTTTTTATGATATGTACTTTATATTCCAATAAATCTAATCTAATGTTTTTATTTTAGAAATCTTTGTTGGAAATTGATTATCTGAATGGCGATGAAAACACTATTGCTGATACCGCTTTTTATGGTATCACTAAGTTTTCTGATTTGTCTAACACTGAATTTGATGATCGATACTTAATGTATGAGCATAAAAAAAATTCTCATCCCAGGAGACATGTAAAATTATCAAATCTGAGGCATCGATCGAAGAGATCTGTTACTTTACCCAGAAAAGTTGATTGGTTTGTTCTTTTTACTGTTTTCTTGAAATTTCATAATTGTTTCATCCTTTAATATTCTGAATATTATTATTATTATATTCATACATGTACATTCTTGTTGACATGATGTGCTCATTGAAATCTTAATTTTATCTCTGTTGTGATTTCTATATTGTTGAATAGGAAATTAATTCCCTCATTACTTTGCTGCTATTTTCCTCTATTGTTAGAAGTGCTGAAGATTTTATGGAAACCTTTTATCTCCAATATCGCTAGTTTTTGTTTTTCATTTTGAGGTAGACCAGGTTCCCGCTCCATAGGTAAAAACATGCCAGATAAATCTTTTATTTTAGATTATTCAGTTTTTCCTTAGAAAGTAAATACTTGGTATAATTTTTATTTACCATCAAACTATTTGTTTAAGGATAGTAGTGGTATTGTGGATGCCATATTCTTTAACTATTATTTCAAGAGTGAGCTTAAAAAGTTAGTAATCAAAACCTACTCCTTGCCTGATACCTCTTTTTGAAGAGAATGTTTCTGACATGTATCCCCACACATACATTATATGCCTATCATGGTCATCTTTGTTTGATGTATCTGTTTTAACAATGTTCTTTTTTTTTTTTTTTTTTTTTTTTGAGAGAAAGAAAAAAATACATTTTGCCTCAATTAAGGGCATTGAGTATTTATGATGAATGAAGTACAATCATACCATATATACAAGACTAACAATGTTCTAGACATTAATATTTATAGGTGCTCTAATTCAATCTTATAACTCGAATTGAGGCCAATTGAAAGTTGAAAAAGAGGTTGACTTTTAACTTTCCTCTATATTCATCTATCTAAGATTATGGGCAGATTAAAAATTTGTCTTGTTGTGTTCTTACGTTGTATAAATTTACATTGGTATGAACCAACTCTTTGTTATACTAAGGGAAGGAGCTAATAGAACAGTTTGATAATATTATACCCAATCACAAGGAAACTAAGACCCTCTATATTCAGAACACTTGAACTGATCACTATTCTATCTGTCTTGTAGTAAGCTGATGGAATAAAATCTACTCTCTAGACTTTTGGATAGTCTTCATTGCTTGTTGACCAATATTTTTAAATGTTCATCTGGAAGCCCAAAATAACCTGATCTGTCTTGTTAATTTAGAAAGTTCTGAAAGAATATTTGATATTCAAACAAATATATTTTCTTTTCGGTAAGGAGAACCAAGGAGAAAAATCATTCTGTACTATTTTTGTTTTTGTTTGATTTAAAACTTTTATTATTATTATTATTTTTTTTACTTCCCCTTAGTAGCATTCTTCTATCTGATTTTTTTTTACCTTTCTATATATGCTTGTATTTATTTTCTTTGTCATTATTTGTTTCCATTAATATAATAATTGTATTATTTCAATCTTCCTTCTTTATATTAATTTATGTTTGTTACAATTTATTTTAGATTATTTTTTGTTAGTTTGTCAGATACCTATGTTGTAGAATTAGAAATGGCCCAGATGGCTGGGCCGAAATTTAGGTTGCATGAACAACAAAAAAGAGGATAACTTATTATATATATTTATTTATTGGCTGACCCTTGAAAATATAATATCTTTATAAATCAGAATAATCAATTCAATGGATTGGAAAAGATTAATGTGATTGCCTGTGAGGGTTCCGTCATACAATATCTTCTATTGATCACATCTCCATCACTAAGAAGAACTTTATTGAGAAATAATATAAATGGAATGTGTATCTATAGTACCTCTTTATAAATACAAAGAAGTTGGTTTTGATTTCTATCTATCCTCAAATAAAAAATATTAATCTGCTGAGTAAATATGAATAAAATAAAGAATGACTACCTGAAAGTTTTATTATTAATAAAATTATATTTTATTTTCTGCTCATTAGTAATGGTCTGATGTTTGAAAATAATGATTCCTATATGAGAACATCCAGTCACTTATTCTAATTTCTATTTATAATGTAATGAGTAATATGGTTAGCATATATATATTTTTTATCTTTCATAGGAGGAAAAAGCAGTGTGTTACTGCAGTAAAAAATCAGTTTACCTGTGGTGCTTGTTGGGCATTTAGTGCAATTGAAACTGTGGAATCTATGGTGGCCATGAAATCTGGGAAGCTAAAGACGTTTAGTGTACAAGAGGTATATTATTAATTTATTTAATATTGTCTTATTATCAACATAATTATTTGGTCAGGAAGAAAATTTGAATTTCTTCAATATATGTGTTTAATTTACTATGCCAATCCTTTTCACGGCTGTCAGAGATATTGACATAATAATTCTGCTTTAAGAGCTGGTGATAATTTATTGCTGTGGACTGTAAAATTAGAGAAGTTAATGGACTAAAAAAGTGAATATGTAAAATTGATTGCTTTGTTTTATAACATTTAATTTTATATAGAGGTTAAATATAGGTGGGTTGGGATACTTGCATTTTCTCTTTTCTTCTATTTGCCAGTCTTCTTGTTTATCTTCTCTCTTTTCCTTTCTTAGTCCCTTGCCTGCCGATGTAGTTTTTTACTCCATATTCAGCAAATCAGTGGAATAACAAATTTTCAAACTGGCCTGTTTAGTTAATCTCTCACGCTACGTGAGTGTCTACGCTCCAGTAATGGCGGCGTCACAATAACATCTGAGGTATATATGCAGTATGCTTGAGATCACAGCTAATAATAATAATAATAATAATCAGAGAGAACCCATTTCACTTCCAACCTTTAATAGACGAAAGGAAAGTATTTTCTCAAGCCTTTAGGTCTAGAATTCTGGTATATGAAACTTGTATTGTTGTGAGTTGAGAATCTTTGCTAGCTGTTAAAGAAACAAACTGGTGCCAATAATGCATTTTAATAGTAACTAAATTGATAATAAGAGTGATTGTTGTTTCATAATTTCATACCTGTTATTCTGTATTTAGTGTTTTATAGGAGACATTTTTAGACATTTGGCTGTTTCAGCCTTGTGTAACAATTTTTTTTAGTATTTTTTATAAATAGAATTGTATCCTATTGTATTAAAAGTATAATAATAAATTTAAATATTAATACAATAAAGTGACGTCAAATGATATACAATCAAAAAGAAACAATAGCATATATTGCAATTGGTTTTTCCACAATTTTCATGATCATTTGCTTCTTTTTGTGTGTTTTTTTTAATTGGATTGTTCTATTTGTGATTTTTTATCTTATTTAGAATATTCTAGATTTTCAATAAAATTTAATGCAATATACTCATTAGTTCTTTTAAATAATGAAAAGAAAATATTTTGTTTAAAACATTTTAAAAAATGTATACTTATATAATAATCTATGGAATTTATTAACACTTTTTATATTGCTAATGACGGGTATAACAGCTGCAACAGAACATGCCCCTGTTGTTAATGACGGTTATAGTCGGCGCCCCACTCCTAACCTCAGTGCTAATGTCGGCTATAGACCTTCCACTGCTTTTCTTTTCATTTGCTGCTGTCCAGTGTAGCTGCCGTGACCTTGCTATATTCTACCGGTTCCTAGTGAAATAAAGCTTCTAACTAGAGTCTACAGATGGCGTGGGGATTTATTTTGGAGCTTTTTTTGTAGAATTTATGAACCGTTATCGGTGACTACCTGTTACAGCCTTTCTCTGGCTGTCTTGACCATTTTCATTCTGTTTTTTAGCGTTCTGTGTGAAACAACCATGTGTTCAACTACTCTGAGTTTATTCAAAATGTTATTTATCTTAGTCTAGTTATTTTAATTAGAAATTAGATTAAATAAGATTAGTTTAATTAATTACATTCTGGTATAGAATTAATTATTGTAGTTAATTTTTAGTTAAAAGTTAGTCTTTTTTTTTTGCTTCATTATTTTCTTTAAAATGGAGATACATTGGTTTACTGTTGTGGAAGCTGCTGAATTCATTATTACTGCTGAAAGAAATATAATATAAAAAAAATATTTGGCCCAAAACCAAGCTATGATGTCGCATTTGTAAGGTTTTTCTTTGTATTGGCAAATGTTTCAAAGAATACCATACAAAATTAAATAAATATTTAAATATATAGAAATTCGAACTTTGCTCCTAAACCTTCATCTCCTAAACTGATTACAGGACGAGTAGACTGGGACAAATTTCGTGGTGATCTGGAAGTTGAACTGGACTTAAAAATTCCCCTTAAGACAAAACAAGATATTGATAAAGCAATAGAAAATCTTACTACAACTATAACAACGAGTATAAATAATAACACATTTGTTAATAATAAAAGCAATAATTCAAGACATATTAACTTGCCGCAGCATATTCGAATCTTATTAAGGGATAAACGCAGAGCAAGATCGAAGTGGAACAGGACTAGATATCCTTCAGACAAAACGTACTATACCGAATTGACTAACAAACTAAAATCAGAAATCAGAAAATATAAAACTCAACAATTACTGAACCTAACTGAAAATATTACAACAACTGACAAATCACTATGGACGGCAACCAAAAAACTTCTGAAGTTTAAAGACTTTAATCACCCACTTCTTACTGAATCCCAAACCTGGTCCAAATCCGACGAAGAAAAACCCCAATTATTCGGTCAACATCTGTTCCAAATTTTCAACCCACATCCTGATATCCTTAATCCAACCCACATCGAATGTATTGAATCAGAACTGGATACTCCTCTTCAAATGTCCCTTCCACCTAAAGCATTTCATCCCACAGAAATATCCAACATCATTCACAGATTACCCTCCCGCAAAGCTCCTGGACATGACCTAATAACATCCCAGATCTTGAAACTTCTTTCTCGAAAAGCCATCCTATTCCTTACTTTCATATATAATGCTGTACTCCGATCCACATATTTCTCTGATCCTTGGAAAATATCTATTGTCAAAATGATCCATAAACCCAAAAAGCCACCAGAATATCCATCCTCTTACCGTCCCATCTCTCTTTTATCCATCATGGGAAAAATCCTGGAAAAACTAATCTTAAAATGCCTGTACCCCATCCTAAATTCTAATCGCATTATCCCAGATCACCAATTTGGAATCCGCTCCTCCCATTCCACTATACAGCAATGCCATCGTGTGGTAGACATAATATCTTCTGCATTGGAGCGCGGAATGTACTGTACGGGAGTCTTTCTCGACGTTGAACAGGCGTTTGGCACCCGGGACTGCTGTACAAACTCCGAAAATTCCTACCATCTACATACTTCCTCATTATCTGTTCCTACCTTACTGGTAGATACTTTAAAGTAAATCACAACAATGTCTATACATCCCGCTTTTCCCAGTCTGCAGATGTTCCTCAAGGTAGTATCCTAGGTCCTATCCTTTACACAGTTTATACAGCTGACATCCCAACCCATCCCAACACTGTCATCACCACATATGCTGATGACACATGTTGGGGCCAGGGGTACTTCAAAATCGAAGTACAGATCTTTCCCCGGTGCGTTTCCTCAATGGTGGGGAAAATTCGAGTAAAATTAAATTTTGGGAGAGAAGGAAAAAATAAAAGAGTAAAATAATGAGACCTGTAAAATATTAAAGAAAAAAAAAACAAATGCATGCACAAGAGACTGTTGAAAAATAGAGATATTTCAATAAATAAATAAAAAATGGAAAATAAAAAATCCCCTTTTGAATGTTCACACAGTTATATTAAATAAAAAAAGAGATACAAAATATATGTAAAAAAAACAAATGAGAAGAAAAAAATTATTCAATTCCAAAGAGAAGAAAACATAAGTATTCCAATAAACGAAAACATAAAACATCATGTTCAGTGACAATTAAACATTATGAAAAAAAATATATAATGAAGTCCACTTCTAAAAGCTATAAATAAAACATGAGAGAAAAATTATTTTCCAAAAGAATAAACTCATTTACAGGTGAAACAAAAATTGGTTAAGGTTCTAATGTCTTTGTGATGGTGATAATATAAACAAAATACGAGCCAGGTTGGAGGTTCCACCTGGTTACCTTCTACGATGTTCAGCTGTTGAGTAATCGATGGTGGGGTGGCATCGATATGTATCGATTACTCAGCTGCGCCCAACAGCTGACCCTCAAAAATGGCGCTAGGTGAGATGTGGCGAGACTAGACGGCCTGGAGCTTGGTGAGATTGGTGGGGGTAGACATCCACTCTGAACGAAAGACAGCTCTAGACTCCCCCCGGCCGTATTTTGATGTCTTAATCCCTAAGACCGGGTAATACTGCCAGGCTGGTGCATATAAATAAGCGATAATACATCGCAAACGAAGGCAGATATACAAAATAATATAAACATAAATATATTTCTGAGACAATTGCCCCACAGTTTTTACTAAAAAAAATAAATAAACATTTTCTTCATTAACATTTAAAAGGGTAAATATGGTGAGAGAAAAAAAATATAGATCTGCAAGTATGCGGCGTTAACAACACATGTATCCTATCAGTTAATAACGACCCATCTATTGCATCCCAAACCCTTCAATCCCACATCACAAACCTTGAAGAATGATGTCAGAACTGGAGAATTAAAATAAATTCCAATAAATCCCATCAAATTACCTTCACCCTTCGTCGTAAACCAATGACTTCCTGTCCTTCAGTATCCTTTAACAACATCTCACTTATTCCTGTCGAACAAATCTGATAGCTAGGACTCCAGCTGGACAAACGTCTAACTTGAAATCCTCATACCAGACTGAAACGACAAGAAACGACTGAAACGACAAACAGCTTGACATTTCCGACTACTTCAACACTTACTAGACAAACGCTCTAACCTTCCAATTAACTATAAAAGACTAATTTACATGACTATAATAAGGCCTATTTGGACTTACGGAGTTGAGCTATGGGGCTCCACCAAACCTTCAAATTCCTCTCGCATCCAATCCTTACAATCCAAAATCCTTCGTAAAATCCTCAACGATCCTTACTTTGTTACAAATAAAATCATCCATAAAGATCTTAATGTTCCTTATGTTTCAGATCTGGCCCAATCCAGATACCTATCCTTCCATAATAAACTTCATAACCATCCCAACCCTCTTGTTTCTAACCTTGCTTCCTATTCAATTCCTGATAATCCTCCGAGGCGTCTGAAAAGAAGATGGCCACGTGATCTCCTAATATAGACATATTATTAGAGTGCTACCAATGGATAGTTTCTCAACATGTGTTTCATGTCTTTATATCCATGTGCGAATTTACCAGATGTATTTTTTGTATACAGTTGTAAATATCTTATAAATAAATAAAAAAAAAAAATGTATAGAAAATAAAATAAAAAAAAGTTTCAAATCCACCAGTGTCAGTTCACAGCCTGAATCAAAAAGGAGAATGGAAACAATAAAATATGGTTAAAAAATATTAGTAAGAGCCGATAATGAAGGGTGGAAACTAGGTAAAATGTATGTAGGCTAGCGGCTAGTAGGCGGGTAGCCGTCTTACTTAGAACTGGGGTAGATGTAAAGCTTGTCACTCGCAGCAGCAAAAAAGTTAAAGAGTGGTTAAAGTGGTTTGGATTATTATTACTATAAAAGATTTTTTTCCTTCTTGTTTTTGTCCTGTTTCAGTTATTTATAATATTTAGTTTTGATTCATTCATATAAAAGATAATACCGATAGTAACTTCTTTATCTGATGTGCTGAATGGTTCTGTTCATAATCACATATGATCAACTGGCAAAATATTGTATTCTTTTATAAGGATTATTTTTCAAAAAAATGAGATTTAGTGAGAAAATGATATAGGGCAAAGCAAGTATGATGTTTTTTATTTGGCACTCTTATGAAAGACACTGCTATTAAAAATTTAGGTTTTTCCTTCTGTTAATTATTGTTCATCTATTTATTTATACCTTTTTTTTTTTCTTTAAAGTTTATCGATTGTGCTAGAAATGGTAATCTTGGGTGTGATGGAGGAGATACATGTAATCTTCTGCAGTGGATTGTTGATAATGATGTTGGTATTCAAGAAGAACATGAATATCCATTGATACTTAAAACTGAACAATGTAAATTGAAAGAGTGAGTTGTAAAGTTATTGTTTTCTTGTTAATCAAACATTAATTATTATTTTAACATTATGAAATCAATATGAAATAACATTGCAAAATTGTATTATTTTTTTGTGTTTTTTAATATATTGGTTTCAATTATTTTCATTTACTTATTTTTTTTTTAGAGTTGGCAAAGGAGTCCATGTTGCTTCTAACTATACATGTGATTAGTAAGTATTTAAATTTAAATTTATATTTGTGAATATATAGCATTTCCAAGTCAATTTCAACCTTTTCCAAGTGAAATTCAACCTTTTCCAAATCAAATTAAACTTTTTCCAAGTCAAATTCAACCTTTTCCATTTCAAATTAAACCTTTTCCATTTCAAATTCAACCTTTTTTTATTTATTTAATTATCTTTAATTTTTCGATGTGTGGGTCTGTTATCGTATGAGTATTTTTTGAAAATAACCTTCTTTTTAAGATTACGTGACCGAGTTTCGAATTATTTAAGTTTTTTTGAATTATTCGATATAAGGGTGTATTTTTATGTTTCCCGATCAGTAAATTTTGAAAATGACATCCATTTTATGTTTACGCCACTGTGTTTTGATTTATTTAAGTTTTTAGAATTTATCCAATATAAAGGTCTACTTTTATGTTTCTGGAGCCGTAGATTTTGAAAACGACCTCAATTTTAAGATTAGGCCACCGCGTTTCGACTTATTTGAGTTTTTCGGATATTTTTCATATGAGAGTGTATTGTTTCCGGAGCTGTAGATTTTGAAAATGACCTCCATTTTAAGATTACGCCACTGTGTTTCGACTTATTTAAGTTTTTTTGATTTATTCGATGTAAGGGTGTATTTTTATGTTTCCGGAGCTGTAGATTTTGAAAATGACCTCCATTTTATGATTACGCCGCTTTGTTTTGACTTATTTAAGTTTTTCGAATTTATCCAATTTAAAGGTCTACTTTTATGTTTTCGGAACCGTAGATTCTGAAAATGACCTCTATTTTATGATTACGCCACTGCTTTTCAACTTATTTAAGTTTTTAGAATTTAACAAGTGTAAAGATCTAATTTTATGTTTCTGGAGCAGTAGATTTCCCCCATTTTGTAAATGACCCAATTTCAAGTTTATGCCACTGTGTTTTGGATTATAAAAGCTTTTTTTTTTACTTTTTCGGTATAAGGATCTACTTATATGTTATCCGAGACCTATTGAAATTTTTCTAATCTTTAATATTTAAATTTATCTAATATTTAAGCTCCATTTTATGATTAAGCCGCTGCATCTCGATTAATTAGGCTTCAGTTTGGATTTTTTCAATACAAAGTTTCATCAATATGTTTTCGAGTATGAATAAATAAATAAATATTATGAAGCTAAAGTTAAATTAACCACAGAATACAAACTAAAAAGCCGAAAAGCAAATGGTAATAAATTTATCCTTCCGTATTGAGATTTTTCAGCTAATTGTTCAAAATCTTATAATTTTGTGACAGGAGACCACAACATTAAAAAAGATAACTAAAATTAAATTAAAAATGAGACAATACATATTTTATTTATTTTGATTAGATATTTTTATTTATTTATTGAAAAATAAATTAATCCTGAATAAGCCATAACGCAGTGGCGTAATCTTAAAATGGAGGTCATTTTCAAAATCTACGACTCCGGAAACATAAGAATACACTCTTTTATGATAAAAATTCGAAACACTTAAAGAAATCAAAATGCGGTAGCCTAATCTTAAAATGGAGGTCGTTTTCAAAATCTACGGCTCCGGAAACATAAGAATACATCCTCATACGAAAAAAATCCGAAAAACTCAAATAAGTCGAAACGCGGTGGCCTAATCTTAAAATGGAGGTCGTTTTCAAAACCTACGACTCCGGAAACATAAGACTACACTCTATTATGATAAAAATTCGAAACACTTAAAGAAATCGAAATGCGGTGGCCTAATCTTAAAATGGAGGTCGTTTTCAAAATCTACGGCTCCGGAAACATAAGAATACATCCTCATATGAAAAAAATCCGAAAAACTCAAAGAAATCGAAACGCGGTGGCCTAATCTTAAAATGGAGGTCGTTTTCAAAATCTACGGCTCCGGAAACATAAGAATACATCCTCATATGAAAAAAATCCGAAAAACTCAAATAAGTCGAAACGCAGTGGCCTAATCTTAAAATGAAGGTCGTTTTCAAAATCTACGACTCCGGAAACATAAGAATACACTCTTTTATGATAAAAATTCGAAACACTTAAAGAAATCGAAATGCGGTGGCCTAATCTTAAAATGGAGGTCGTTTTAAAAATCTACGGCTCCGGAAACATAAGAATACATCCTCATATGAAAAAAATCCGAAAAACTCAAATAAGTCGAAACGCGGTGGCCTAATCTTAAAATGAAGGTCGTTTTCAAAATCTACGACTCCGGAAACATAAGAATACACTCTTTTATGATAAAAATTCGAAACACTTAAAGAAATCGAAATGCGGTGGCCTAATCTTAAAATGGAGGTCGTTTTCAAAATCTACGGCTCCAGAAACATAAAAGTAGACCTTTATATTGGATAAATTCTAAAAACTTAAATAAGTCAAAACACACTGGCATAAACATAAAATGGATGTCATTTTCAAAATTTACTGATCGGGAAACATAAAAATACACCCTTATATCGAATAATTCAAAAAAACTTAAATGATTCGAAACGCAGTCACTTAATCTTAAAATGGGGGTTATTTTCAAAACTAGGTATAGGACAGCATAATACTAGTCCCTAATAAATCCGAATAGGTACAATAAATTGATATCCGTAAGTGAAAATTCTACTTAGGAGAGCATAATAATAGACTTTCATATTGGAGGGGGGAGGGGATGGCCATTATTTAAAAAAAAATATAAGATTTACAAAAAATTAAAACATTAATTTGAAATGAAAATTTCCAATAGAGCTCAGATTTGAAGGTTTTAAATTTTGTTTATGTTTAAGGGAAAATTGAGTTTTCAACAGGTTTTTGCTGATCTTGAATAGTAGGTTCAAAATACAAAATCCTACGGATTCTTTGGGATATTTTTTTACTATTGTTCTCTTAAACAGATCTTTTTTGTCATTCCCCTTTAAAACAAGTTTATTCTGGGGTTTTCATTCAGAATTTGATTCAATTGATTGAATTCATGAATCCTTATGTTTGATTTTATATTAAATTTAATTAATCTGAATCAATTTAACTATTATTAGGTGGCGTTAGACTCAGTTGTTGAGTCATAGTCTGCCTTATCATAGATTTTCATTTATTTCTTGTTTCTTGCTGTTATCTTCCAGTTCCTGGCACCAAGCAGAGACCTTGTGTGTGTCACCTCCTCATATCAAAACTTAAGATATCCAACTTGTGCCTTATACACACTGGAAGTTTTTTATGGGATTTCATTTAATTCCTAGTTACATGGCCCACCTCCAACAAAGCCTTGATAACTTAATTAAGGTCCATACATCTAGATATCTATAAACGGCCCTTAACTCTGCACTATTCCTCCTTCTCCATATGCCTTGTTTATAAATGCCACTGTATATTTTTCTAAGCACCTTCCTCTCAAATCTGAGGACTTGTTCCTGAGATCTAGTCACGGTCAAACATTCTGAGCCATATGGAAGGACCTATCAGATAAGTGTCTTATAAATTCTTGTTTTTGTATCTCTAGATAATGCATTACTCCTTAACTGCTTTTGGAGCATGAAACATGTTTGGTTCACTTGAAATTAGCCTCAGTATTTCTTTTTCCATATTATTTTAAAGGTTAACTTTGTTCCTAGATAATAAATGATTGAACTCTTTCAAATCTATACTTTCCCATCAAGACATATCCCTTATTATCTTTATTTGTAAGTAGAGTGCACATGGATTTTGTCTTTGCTTCATTTATGATGAGTTGTAATTGTGCTGCTGCATGTTCCAGTGCCTATTCTTACCACATTGACAGGTTTTGTAGTTAGGTATAGGTCATCTGCATATCCAAGAACCTATATTGTCCTGTTTATAAAGGTTCTGTTTGCCTGAATACTTGAGTCTCTGATTGCTTTCTCAAGAAAGAGGTCAAATACTGGGCAAACAAGGCTATCTTCCTGTATCAGTGGAAAATCATCTCTAGAGTTTTGCGAGGATTCAATATTATTAAGCATATATTGCACTCCATCATCTTCTTCACATGACAAACCAATTTTAAGGAGATATTCATGTCCATCATTGCTTTGTAAGCCTGATATCTGTTGATTGAATCATATCCCTGTTGGAAATCTATTTAAACAGAATGTGTAGGAACCTAATATTCCCTTATATTCTATAATAGTCTTGTATGTGCATGGGATATGCTGTAATTATTGGATGTATATACATTAGGCAGGTGGTTTAGGGCTAAATTTTAAGTTTACTGTTACCATACACTAGATAAAAGCATCAAATTTGATATAAATGTACCTTAGTATACATTATTATTAGCCTAAGAGCCCCCTAAAATTTTTAAAACTTCTAAAATCTAAAATGTTCGACAAGACAACAATCTGTCACTTTTAACAAAATCTATTTTACTGTTAATTTTCAATTACATCTGTAGATTAACTCAGCACACTACATACTTAACTTGGGATAGTTTATATATTAAATAAAATATATCCAAATTATTTATTACAGTAGCATATGAAGAGGTTTAATGCACGCACGCACACACACACATGCACACACACACATGCACGCAAGCACAAGAACGCACACACACACACACACGCAAGCACAAGAACGCACACACACACACACACACACACACACACACACACACACACACACACACACACACACACACACACAACACACACACACACACACACACACACACACACACACACACACACACACACACACACACAAACACACACACATGCATGCAAGCACAAGCTCACACACACACACACACACATACACATGCATGCAAGCACAAGCTCACACACACACACACACACACAGATGCGCGCGCACACACACACACACACACACACACACACACACACACAGATTTAGAACTATTTAATGGACCATCAAATTACCTTTACTCTTCGTCGTAAACCTATGACTTCCTGTCCTACAGTATCCTTTAACAATACTCCACTTATCCCTGTTGAGCAAATCCGATACCTAGGACTCCACCTGGACAAACGACTAACTTGGAATCCTCATACTAGACTGAAATGACAAGAAACCGCTTGACGTTTCCGATTACTTCAGCACTTACTAGACAAAGGCTCTAAACTTCCCATTAATTACAAAAGACTCATATACTTGACTATAATAAGACCTATTTGGACTTACGGAGTTGAGCTATGGGGCTCCACTAAACCATCGAATTCCTCTCGCATCCAATCCTTACAATCCAAAATCCTTCGTAAAATCCTCCATTCTCCTTAATTTGTCACTAATAAAATTATCCATAAAGATCTTAATGTTCCTTATGTTTCAGATCTGGCCCAATCCAGATACCTATCCTTCCATATTGAACTTCAGAATCATCCCAACCCTCTCGTTTCTAACCTTGCTTCCTCTTCAATTCCTGATAACCCTCCGAGGCGTCTGAAAAGAAGATGGCCCCATGATCTCCTAATGTAGTCATATCATTAGAGTGCTACCATTGGGTAGTTAATCAGCAAGTGTTTTCATGTCATTATATCAATTATGTCCAAATTTACTTGATGTATTTATGTAATACAGTTGTAAATGTCATAAAGAAATAAAAAAAAAATTTCTACTTATAGGAAAGGGTAAAAATGATGTTCATGTGTGTATGTTATACATTTATCAAGTAAGTAAGGAGTTCTAAGATGTAGGGAGGGTTTTTTGTTCTGAGGACCTGAAAAAGAAAAACACCTACAAGGAATTGCCGTCGGGAAGTAGGATATAGCCGCTTCAACTCAGCGTACCAACAAGAAATATGAGAATGCTTAGGAATCCCAAAGATGAATCTTATGAAGCAATTCATAATTTTCTTCAGTCTCTCCTCCAGTTCTGTGGACAGCCCTCCACACTAGGCAACCATAGTCGAAGTGGAGGAAAATAAGGGATGTTACAAGGAGCTGTCTGGTTTTTTTGGAATGGAATTACGGAATAGAAGGAATTGTTTAAGGATAGTTATGGATTTACGGGTAATCTGGGAAATGTGGTTGTTCCAAGAGAGGTTCTGATCAAAGATCACTCCGAGGTTTTCGGCTGTCGGAAAGAAATGGATGGGACGGTTATTGAGGTAAAGTAAAAAGAAAAAAGAAAGGGAACTAATGAGGTGCTTGGAGCCGATGAGAATTGTCTTGATTTTGTCTGCGTCTGCGTTCAGCTTTAGTTTATATTTTTCTGCCCACCTATGGATACCGTCAATAACCTCTCTTAGTTTTCGGGTAGCCTCAGGCATCTCAGATGGTTGGAATGATAAGTAGATTTGTAGATCGTCTGCATATAAGTGATAGTGGGAATGACAAATGGAGTCAGGAAGGTTGCTAATATAAATGGAGAACAGAGTTGGAGAGAGTGAGGAGCCCTGAGGAACACCTCGTGTTAATTGAAGAGACGAGGAAGGAGATTTGTCAGGAATAAAACCTGGTAAGAAGCGATGGAATAAAAAAAGAGAGGAACCATTTCAGAGCTCTATTCGAATATAGGTAGGCTTTGGAGTTTGGAAATGAGGATATTATGATTGACGGAGTCAAAGGCTTTTGAGAAGTCGAAAAGGACTAGGATGGAGATTTTCTGTTTGTATATGGATGATTGGAGGTCTTGGGTAATCTTTAATAAGGCAGATTGGGTGGAGTATTGGGAACGAGAACCAGATTGTAGAGGATTGAGGAGACGATTTTACTCAAGAAAGTTGTTCAACTGAGAATGAACTAATCTTTCTAGAGGCTTGGATAAATTGGATAAAATGGAAGTGGGTCTGAAGTAGGATGCTAGTGACGGAGTAGGAACTTTGTTTAACGGCCGGACAATGACTTTTTTCCAGGCTTTAGAAAAAATGGAATTTTAGAAGGGAAAATTGTAGATGTGTAGGAGTATAGTAATTAAGTTTGGTTGGCAGAGTTTAATGATTTTCATAGGAATTTGGTTTGGACCATATTCGTTGGTTTTGGATTTAAGGATACTAGAGAGTAGGTCATGATGGGTGGGTTGAAAAGGTACAATAAATAGGTCTAGCGAGAAAAACAGGTCAATAAGTATGTTCTATCTGGAGAGACTGAAAGGAGGTTGGTGTTGAGAGTAATATGGTTGGGGTTAATTATTTTTATTTTATTTTTTTTAATAAAGTTGTTATTTATTAATTTATCTATGTAGAGCTCTATAGATTTATATACAGTCTTATATAGATGGGTCATGCCGAATTTTCTTATATATTAGATCATTCTCCAATAAATTTTTCATTTTATTATCATAATCAGCATGTTCCATGATAACTGTTTTTTTAGTTTTATCCAACTAAATGATGTTCAGTTCAGCATTGTTTTTAAAAAAAAAAAATTAGTACTAATCAAATCCTTATTAACCTTACTTTGTAGTTTGAGTTGTATATTGTTATCTGAATTATTGCTTATTTTTTTGTCCAAAAATTACTAACATCTTTATTTATTTAATTTCCTAAGCATGATTTATGATTCTCTATAATTAGAATGTCATTCACTATTACCTCCATATCGGCCAATATACTGATGATTTCTTTACTGCTGATGTTGTGTATTGTATACAATATTCCTCTGAGGCCAGTAAATTGGTTATGTCATTAGGTATGTTTGTCTTGTTGTTAAGTTGACCACTCTATTGCTTTTGTGCGTGTCCTGATAATTATTCATAATACCCTCATCTTTAAGAACAGCATTATCAATGTAAATTCTCTTTATACTATAGGAATCATATGATGATTTTTGTTTTGTGTTATTGAAATAGTATGGTTTCATGAATTGGGATTTATATGTTTTTTTTTATTTTGTTATTAATTCTATCATTGCGGTGAGACAAAATATTATTTACATGTTCTTCTAAATTCTTTTTAATATGCTCAGTTAATATTCTGTCATGTGAAATACTTTTGCGAAATATCCTGTCCATTTCATTTTTGATATGGTGTAGTCTCCAATGGGTTTAATTTCCATAATTAATAATTTCAAACTTTAAAATGTGAGTGACTACTTCAGAAATAATATTTTTATTTTTTGGTTTACAGCTATTCAGGAAATTTTTGTTGAAAATATTTTCAATTGGCATAATAACTTTGATAATTTTTATGAGAATAATAACCTCATTCTATCATTTGGTTCATTCAAATTAATTTATAAATTAACAAATTGATTCAACCCAATTACGGTTATAATTCATAAAATGTTGATTTAAAGATGACTAATATCACCATCATAGCATGTTAAATGTAATAGGATATGAAATTAATTGTGAGTTTGTCTAACAGATGGCTTGTAAATGGCATGCTAGCCAAAATTTAGCCAATGTAAAATGGAAATAAAAGTGATGAAATAAAAAACATAGCCTTACTTTATATTATGAGTAAATTATTCATTATCAACATTATTGAAAATAAATAATCCCGTCATATATTTATTTTTTTAAAACCAGTGCAGTATGATTTAGTTCAATTTATTTATTAGATTAGTTTAAAAACGTTTATGGTTTATAGATACTTTTGTTTGTTTTTGTTTATTTTATTGAAATTCTTTCTATTTTTATTTAAATTAACTTTTTGGATCTATTATATGAGGGTCCATTGTTACATTGAAGAGGGGGAGGGGAGGGTGCTTTTTCAATTTTAGAATTGCACAATAGTCTATTGAGTTTTTCCATTTTTTTTCTTTCTTTTATATAAGGGTCCACTATTATGTTGTCGGGGACAAAAATACTATTTATGAAAATACTGTAACATTTAAGATTGCGCTATCAGGCATCAATTTGTAACTTTCTGGATTTTATTAATATAATGCTTCATTATTATGTTGGGCCACTTTTTATTTAAATACTATCACTTATAAGATTGCTCAATCAGTTATCGAGTGTTTGCAACTTTTCGGATTTAATTGATGTAAGGATCCATTACAATGTTGTCAGAGAAACTTTTTAGATTTAATTGATATAAGGGTCCACTATGTTGTCAACGGCATTTGTTATGAAAATACTATCGGATATAAGATTGTGCAATTGAGTAGTATTTTCATAAAAAATTGTTTTCCTGATATAAGCAACATACTAAAAAAGTGACCTTCTGGATGCTCCCTACCTTTGGCTCCCCAACAAGGAGTGGAAACATTTAGTATGCTTACCTCCTTACTGGACCAAACAATGTCCTAAAGTCAAAAATAGTGTTCCTTCCATTTCCCTCTAAAATCATTTATTATCTGGACTAATACAGCTATTTCAAAAATCTGTTTTATTTGTATTTATTTTAGGTCCTAACTTGTTTTACTATGTTTATTTTTAGTTTGGTTGGAGAAGAAGATACTTTACTCGCATTGTTGGCTTATCATGGACCTGTTGCAGTGGCTGTTAATGCATTAACATGGCAGTATTATCTTGGGGGTGTTATACAATTTCATTGTGATGGTTCTCTAGAAAATCTTAATCATGCAGTGCAGATTGTTGGCTATAATCTGGATGCTACTCCTCCTTATTATATTGTGAGGAACTCATGGGGAGAAGACTTTGGACAGAAAGGATATTTAAAAATAGCCATTGGTTCAAATGTTTGTGGTGAGTTCTTGCAGAATTTCCCAAAGTTGCACACATTTTTTAATTGATAAATGGTTTATGCAAGTTTATTTATTCAAATAAATTAAAATACTTGGAATTTCATTCCTCTGATGGCCTCTTTCCATTTTCATTAAATTCCATAAAATAATACATGCCATAAAAATAAATTAAATATATTCCCATCATACAAAATGAAAATAATCAAACAATGAAAGAAACAAAAAATATCCTAAAGCATCGAACTTTAAAAAAGAAACCTTTGAATTAAATTTACAATAATATGTGTAAATTCTAATTAATTATTATAATTTAATAAAATGAAATGAAATTAATTTGATTGATAAATCAATTTAGAATTATTAAAATAATGGTACAGAAAAAAAATTATATAAATATGTATATAAATTTATAATCATATTTGGCTCTTTTCTACTCTAAGCACACAAGTGACGCTATTGTTTTCCCTTTTCACCTCTCTAACACGGCCTCCCTTGAAGATGCAATTTTGAATAATATCTTCATTGCAAAGAGGATGAAATGCTGAATATTTCCATTGCTTACAGCTTACAGTCCGATTTTTAGTTTCTGAGATATTTTAATCCATATCTTCAATAAAAGTCGTTATCAGATGCTTTTCGGAACTATTTTTCCATTTTTACATCGCTAACACGTCATCACATTGAGATGCAATTTTGAATAATAAGCTCCCTACCAAGAGGATGAAATGCTGAACATTTATCTTGTTTAGAGTATGCAGGTCCTATATTTACTTTCTGAGATATTTTAATCCATACGTTCAACCAAACTCGTTCCCTTTTTCTCTCTCTAACACAGCATCACCTTAAGATACAATTTTGAGTAATAGCCCATTACAAAGAAGATAAAATTCTGAAAATTTCTCATGCTTACAGTAAGTAAGTCGAATTTTTAGTTTCTGAAATATGTGAATCCATATGTAAAAACACTTCAAAATTTCACTGATGTGCTAAAAGTAGAAAAGAGCCTCATATTTTTATATAATGAAAGAAAATAATACAGTGAAACAAGTCTTAAACCGGGAACCTTCATCATATCAAGTTCATACTCTAGCCACTGGACCATGAAGACACTTATTAGACTTAGCATGAACTAATGTCCATGTTAAAGTTCAACCTCTATGTGAGATGTATTATTTGGAAAATAATGATTTTCCTTCACGGGTGATTAAACCTGAGACCCATGGGGTCAATAATGTTTTTCAAATGGATGCCACTCATCTTAAAAGTGTTGCAAATTAAAATAAAATGGATAACCTCCTGACGGCCGGTTATATTTGTCCTTTAACATCCCCGTGCTGCAGCTGACGGATGTTCTCATGGAGAATAATAATGTCCCAGATGTGTGAAATCGTTCGTTAAAATCTGGATTCAAAAACCTTTGGTTTTCCAGGAAAATTGTGGACGGGGCGAGGGACTTCATGAAGGTAGTCATCCATGCAACACCATACTAGCCTTTTATCTGTCATGTGACATGAGGTGAGGCAAAGTGCACTAGAGATTAACAAAAATGTTGTCTCTGAGACGTCTCGTAGTGTACTAAATATTTAATGATATAATTATACAAATAGAAAAAAAAATGCTTGTATACAATATTATTAAAACAAAATATAAAATTAGAATTAAATAACCTATGTATTATAGTAAACAAAATGAAAATAACCCCCCCATATTATGATATGGTCAGAAACAAAACAAAATAAAATAAATGACCTACTTATTTTGGCTGCAACATTACTACTAATTTTCCTAATATTAATACTACCTAAAAAATAAATAGTTTGCAAATATTATATAAATTTTTGATCTATATTTATGACTATCAAATTCCTCAAATGTCTAATTCTTACTACTAATAATTGTTCTTGTACATGTTTTTAGTTAGAAATGACTTCTCAAATGTTTTTTTTTTTCTTTTAAAAATTCTATTGTTCATAAGACTTATATTTTTGAAATTCTTTTTCATTTTCTGTTTTAATTTTTATTTCAGGAGAAAATTAAATAGAATGTTGTCAGCTTAACTATTATATTTCTAGAATATCAAATACTACTATTCAAAACAAAAGTTTTATAGATAAAATGTATTTATCTATTTCAATACATAAAATAGGCTCATAGTTGGAACAAGAGGAGATATATATGTTGTGTTATTTCTTACAATATGTATAGTTTAATCTTATTTTGTGACCACAATGGTGAAAGTTATTATAGTGGTTGGAAAAAAATCCCTAATTGTTGTTAAGTCAGTTTAATTAATAGTTCATTTGGAGGGAGTGATCAATACCCAATTCTTTTATAAAAATACGCTTCGATGATCTTTATAAAATTTCTAGCACCTCTATGTAATAATGTAAGAGTAAAAATATGTATTAAGACATAGAATAAGTTCTCAATGTTTCCTAGCAGATGGCTGCCGCAGTACTTTGTGCGTTTCATTTCAGATGGTAATGGAATTTTCCATTAACTCTAAGGTCGATCAGCATAGGCTTCAGTGTGTGTTAATTCACCACTGTGCTAACGTTCATTTTTTAGTTCTAAAAATGTTGAGTTTTGTATCAAGTAAAGAGTATTTGTAGAGAATTTTTTTCGCACTATTTTCTAAAAAAAAATCTGCAGCTAAAGCAAGGAGAATTCTTGTTGGGACTTACAGTGAGCATACTCAGTCTGAAAAAACTTGTAGAGGCTGGTTTCGGTGAAACTTTTGAAAGCATTAACAATGATCTAGAAGGAAGGACACTGAACAACATTTTCTTACTTATGAACTGCAGTTTCATCAGCAGAAAAGGAAAAGTTTTTTGTATTATATCATAACTGATAATGAGAAATGGATATAGTACAATAATCCTAAGCTTAAAAAATTATGGGGTAAGCCTGACCTGTTCCTTAGCTTCTCCTCTGCATTTAGTGAAATCAGCACAGTGTAATTTATTTAAGCTGCTGAAACCGAGTACAACTTTTACAGGAGAACACTATTGACTAGAGTAAATGTGTTTGAGCCAAGCCCTAAAGGATTAGTGACCACTTTACAATAAGGTGATTTTATTACATGACAACAATCCATCACATGTTGCAATACCAGTAAAAACCTACTTGGAAACACGTAAGCGGGAAGTCCTACCCCACCCAATGTATTCACTGGATGTAGCCCCTTCTGATTATAACTTATATTATTTAATGGCATTTGGCCTGGCTGAAGAGCACTTCCATTCTTATGAAGATAACAAAGAATGGGTAGATTCTTGAATTGCCTTAAAAGATAAGTTGTTTTTCTATTGTGAAATTCATATGCTGCCTGAAAGATGGGAGAAAGTGGTGGCTAATTATGGACAGTACGTTTGAGTCACATGTCTTTTACCACTTACTTTAAATAAAGCATTAATTTAAAAAAAAACAGCTAGAACTTATTCAAAGTTAATCTACAGAAATGAATATAAATTACTTCTCATGATAATTAATTTTGTGTGACAATTTGAATTTAGGCATTATATTTTAGCTGTCAGTGCTGCCAGAGAACAAAACATAGATTTTCTTTTTAAATTATAGATTATAACCATGCTCATAATAATTAAATATGTACTTCATTTCATATATTTAATATTTAAAATTTCAAAATCTGATTGCTATGTATTACTGAATTATTCATGTTTCATTGTACTTGAAAAAACTTATCATGATTTATTATTTTTTTTTTTAGGTATTGCCTCGGAAGTAGTATCTCTTGATGTACTATAACAAAGAAGTCACTTATTTGATGGTCTTCAGTTATATTTTAACATTTTATAATGATTATTCAAAAATTAAGTTTAATATAGTTTTGATGTTATAGCATTTTTAAAGATTTAGGAATAGGAAAAATAAAATTATTCCATTGTGTTTAAATGATTTGTTTACTTTTTAAGATTAATTGTGTGCCTTATAGATTATTATAAACTTCTGAATTTGAAACTGGTCTGTGATAATTATTTTTTGACAAAATAAATTTTTACTATTTGCCATATATTGTGACTATTTTTATCAATACAGTTTTAAAGTGTATTTATTTATTACTGTGAAATCCTTTTATTGCTTCTTTTACAAATTGAATATTATGCTTCACCTTAAACCTACCTTTTGTACATGCTTCTTCATATTCATCAAATTGAATTTTTCCTCCACGCCAGAACATATGTCAAAATTGTATGTTATAATTTCCTCTTCATGTTGTAAGGGCTTATTGTGCTTTCCAATGTAAAAGAGTTGCTGCTGGAGGTTGTCTTGCCCTGTAAGTATCCTGAGACACGATGCTGATTGTTCTTGAGGCAATGGCATTGATATACAGTCTTTCTGTATTACAAGGGGCTCCCATAATCCTTCAGAAAGTCTTAATAATTCTTTAAGATTTTTCCTTGTATTCACCTTCAGATCTCCTACAATTCAAATCCTCTATTCATTCCCATAATATCCATTCTTGGTCTTCAGATTTATATTCAATGTTCTAATAGCTTTTAACAGATATTTTATATATTCTTTCTGTTATCAGTCGCTCTAAAATATTTTCTATGTTGAAATCATTCTGGTTCAATCACTTCATATCCATCCAATTTCCACAGAACTGTTGTTTTTGGAATTGCTCTGCGAGACCCAAACCATAGGCCTCTCACGATGAACTCTTCCTCTCTCCGAATGTCTCACAGAACTTCTCTTGTAGGAAAGAGATATATTTTTCATATGTGTTCCTCTTTTTCCTTTCCATTTCATTCGTCTGCTCTCAGAGTGAATAGTAGATCCAAGATCAGTGCTGCCCTTCCTGTCTTGGAAAATGTGACAATATTCGCATATTTTGTATAGCCTTAACTGTTGATGCAATAGACCTCGTCAAAACAGATGAATTACTTTTGTCGTCGGAGTCTCATCTACTCGAACTTGACCCTAAAAAATTATTTGCCAATTTTTATAACAAAATGTAAATGTGTATTTACATTAATTTTTCTTTTTTAACTATAATTATTTCATGTTTGTTTTATTTGTTTGGTAATTTATTTAAGATTAGAAATTATTTATTAGTATTTAATTAGTTTTATTTGTTCATTCTTTTGTTATTTTTTCTTTTCTTTTTAAGCTCTAAAGTCTACTATTGATTTTCAGTGGCATACCTAAATACCTCTTTGGGGTCCAAGGCAAATTTATTTTTGAAGCTCCTTACCAGGAAAATAAAATAAAAGAACTTTTATTTCGAATTACAGACATATTGTTTTGTCATTTTCATCTACTTCCAACATTCTGTTTATTATTTCTAATGATCAATTGAATAATTAGGCACCTGAATATAAATGTAATATCAGGCACTTTCCAAACAAAATTTAAGTAAATGAAAAATGTATGTAAATTCTTTCATGTTCTATGCTTAGGCTTGTTAAAAAATTATTATGTTTTAGTTAAATTTCTTGATACAATTGATTAAACAAATCAATAACAGAAAATTCCATTTAAACCATAGAAAAAAGTTTTGTTTGAAGTAAATTCTTTTTGCAATGAAGTTATCATGTAAAAAAAAATCCCTGCAGTGGAGCCTGGGGCGAACAGCCTTCCTTCCATAGAGATATTACTGTTGGTTTCAGGTAATGTTGTTCTAAAGAGACTTATTCTTGGAATTAAAAAAAAAATTATTATTAAATGTTTTTCTATTTTAATAGAATAACATTTAATAAAGAGGCCAAGACTCAGCGGTGAATTGTAGCACCCATGAAGAAGAAGAAGATTCTATTTTAATTCATTGTTATTTCATCTATTTATTCATATATTTCATTTTATTTAAATTATAATTTTTAACTTTCAGAACAGGAGGCGCGAGCTAAGTACTTTCACAACTGAAAAATAATAAACTTTTCCAATCTTTAACCTAGCTTTAATTTCCTCTTCAATTTCGTTTCTTTATGTATTGTAGATCCTTAAATTATATTATTATCTCTATATGTTAAAAATACTCCCTACTATATCTATCTCATGGAATTGTTGCCATTTCTACAGCTAATCATATGTTTTGTCTTATCAGTATTTATTTCAAGCTTTGCTAAACAACTGGAGAAAACCAGCCTTTAAGTATCGTTATAGTCATGAGAAATTATATTCAAGGGGGTTTCTGAAGAACCTTCAATCTTTAAAACAAAGTTCCAGACAATAGAATGATCAAAACAATTTATTGAAGTTTTGGTACTCTTTCATCACCATATTTGTTGTGAGAGTGACCAATAAAAAGATTTATCTGATGATCAAGTCTGGTGAAGTAGTGGAAGAATGTATCTTTCACGAATTTCTTTGACTTAGTAGAACCATGTCTGAAGCTGGTGATGGAGGCAATTCAGAAAGTCATGGTATAAAGCCAAAATATGGTTTTGCTATAACTACGTTTCTTTCAAGATCTGTGCCAATTTTTTTTTCAGTAAATCACTTTTTATATTACCTAAATAATATAAAAACATTTTTTTAATACTATTTATTGAATAATAATACAATCAGCCACTGCTGGAGGGCTATAAGTGTTAGGGCTAAAAGTTCTCATTCATACAATATATACAAATAATAAAGAAATAAATATAAATATAATAAGTAAATAAATAATACTGATGAAGGAGGTAAATAAAGAGAAAAAAAATAAACAAATAAAATAAAATAAAACAATCATAACTATATACAATATATACATTCGCCCAAGAATCTCCGAGCCAGTCCTTTTCCCCCACATGTGGAAGGCAAAGCAAGACTCCGGAAGATCCCAGTGCCACTTTTCCAGCCGCATCACTAGTATTAGAAGCCAGTGGAGACTGAAAGAGGGCACTAGAGCCACAGACGCTCAGGACATGAGTGGAGAAGCTGGCCATTGCCAGGACTCCAAAGGCGTATTTACAAAAGATCTCGAGGCCACTACCGTTTCAACCTTCGAGGGGGATGGTATGGATGCTTGCAGCTGGATAGGGATTGCGCTAGAGGATTGGGATAGTGGGAAGTGGGAGCGGTATTTTATTTTTGTGCCATGCTGTTCTCTATCTTCCTTGAATATATTCCCTATTTGACGAACACGGAACCCATCTCAGTTAATTCTTCTTTAATGGCATCCAGCGGTGTTGATGGGTGTAATCTCCTGATCACCGCCCTGAGCGCTCTCTCTTGGCGCACCTGATACGTATGATAATTCGCCTTAGTGTCAGATAAATACTTGACAATTTTTCTGTTCGTATCTGGGGTGTCAGGCATTAATTTCGTGTCATTAGTGCGGCTTTAGCATAAGTATTTACCTGAGCCCACTATATTATTTAATTGTAGACATATTAATTGAAATTTTTTTATATTTCTAACGAATATTGGTGGAGGTTTAAGTTCACTAGGGGTGGGTACTGCTTCCATTTGTTCATTCTGTGTGTTTGACAGCACTTGGAATGGATTAGCTGTAAAAAAGGGCGATTCTTCTAACGTACCTTGTATTGGCATAGCTTGTGTTGACATATATTGTGTTGATGTGCCAGGTTGATTTTCGACTTCGTCTACTGAGCTCTCTGGTGTAGCTGGCGGGGTATTTTTTTTAGAGCGTCTAGCCCTTTTCTTGGTAGGTGAACTCTTTGTGGTATCGAGACTCCTAGATCTTAAAGTTGGATTTTTACCTTTCCTCGACATTGCCATGTGAAAATAGCGCATCTCATATTAATTTAATTAGAGGTAAATGTAATAATTTGCAAACAAATGTCCTTTATCAATTACGTATATATTATGCGAGTTTGTAGAAGTCTGGGTAACATAGACCTACCTCCGCCGAAGGGCAGCAGCCCACTGGTCGGATTAGCGAATGTATATGGCCGGCTTGTTATCTATCACTAACCTCAGGTGTATTTACACTAATTTAAAAAGTAGTAAAAAAAAAAAAAAAAAAAGACAGTTTAAAGTGGAAACTTTAAAAAAAATTTTTTTTTTCTTTTTGCTGCAATAGGATTGAGGGTGTACTGTTTAAATAATAAAATAAGATTCATAAAAATGCATTTAATAAACCTAATAAAATAAATTTTAAACTGTATGTTTGTGTTATAAAGCAATAGGATGGGAGAAAAAAATAAATAGAAAGAAGTGTCTTGGTTGAAGTTTTGAAGCTGGAAACACTATTCTAAAATAAAAAATAAAATATAATCAACGATATGCGCTAGGCTCTGGCAACCATGAGGTATGTGTGCGGTCGCTATCCTAATGTAGCTCCCTCCCCATCACTAGGGAATCCAGGATTTAATTTTGCGGGGCTTCAGCCAAAAAGTTTTTTTCTTATATATATATATAACGATGATTACTTTGGAAAAAGAAAGAAATATACTAACAACCTATATGAAATGGTTTTCAGTGATTCAAGTGATTCTTGAAGTCCTATTTAATTTACTTACACGAACAATAATGCTTTAAGAAAAAATTTTTAAATATTTTTTCTATAAAACATGGTTACATTTTACCATTTTTTTTGGGGGGGGGGGAGAGACTTCAGCCCGAAAGAACTCTCCCTCCGTAGATCCGCCTGTGCTCCCTGTCACATGTTTGAACGCTAATTGTCTTTGCAAATTTGAATCAGAAAAAATCGACAGTTTTTGTGTTTTTATTGTTATAACTATCTCAAATGTTATAACAATAACATAAGTGCCCAATTTTTAAACAAACAGAAAAATGTTCCTAGTTTGAAATGGAAATTAAAAGTTGTTGTAAAAAGAAATTGTTTTTTCTGTATGTAATCTAACTTTTAGGCAAGTTTTCTGTGGTAGAGCGTTACAAAAAAAAAAAACCTACCTACCTTAATGGCATTCATATATTCCACGGACGGATCTACCGGGGGGAGGGGGCTTTAGGGCTGAAGCCCCCCAAAAAATAGTAAAATATAACCATGTTTTATTTTAAAAAATTATCTCTTAAAGTATTATTGTTTGTGTAATTACATTTAAAAGGAATTTAGGAATCACTTAAACACCATTTCATATAGGTTGTTAGTTTCTTTCTTTTTTTCCAAAGTAATTATCGTTATTTTTATGAAAAAA